AGGTGAACATGGCTTGGGGGGGCTAGGTAGCCCGGATGATGGCGGAGTGGCCGCCTGAGAGGAGAGGATCGTAGAGGGGTCCTGTAGGATGATTCTGGGGCCCAGCGTGGGGCCGGTGAGGATATGAACATCAAGATGCCATCTGCGAGGCTTGGGCTGCGGTATTAGGGGAGGTTGGAGCCGCAGAGCGCCCCCTGGCATCGGGGCATTACAATGGGCAGCCTCCCGCTTAATTAACATCTTAATTGAACTAATTATCATCAAAGGCGTGGTGGGCGAGATAGGCGGGCGGTTGCCCGCAGAGACAGGGGACGGGCCGTGGAGCACGGCCCCCGGGAGGCCCCCTTGTCACAATCTACTTTTCATTCCTCCTTCTTCGTGCATTTAAAAACGGCAGCGATGGCCATTTATCTTCAAGCCGGACTAGATGGAGACTTGTTCAGCATTGCAAGGTTTGGAGCAAAAACTAAGGTGAAAGAACTGCTTCTGAGAGACTTTCTGGTTAAGATGATTTGGCCTTGGTTGCCCACAGTGAATCTTCCCTGCAAAATCTTGGACAGATTTTCTGAGTCATGCAAGAGCATCAGGGTGGCAATTTATCTCAAGAAGACTGCAATCATGTACCAAGGGGTGGAAGAACCAATACCTGATGTCCCTAGAGGATAAATCTCTTGGTGGTGTTGACAGTTTTTGCTACTTGGGTTCTACAGTGAGGCGGGGTCTTGACCTTCAGACTGAACTGGCTGAATCAGAAAAGCAGCTAAGAATTTCAAGCTATTGCAGGAACGTACGTGGAATAACAGCAAACTATCAGCTAAGGTGAAGATAGAAATCTACGGGACTTGGGTGCTGTCATCCCTATTTTATGGTTCAGAAACATGGACTACATATGCTAGGCATATCCAGCAAATGCAGCTTTAAGATGACTCACTTTTTTTACAGCAATATATATTTAGCTTGTTTTATATTGGTGTTGCAATAAGTCTGTTATTAGTTAAGATTGATGTGGCCATCGGGGGACCTATTTTCAAAAATTTTTGGCGCACATGTTTCTGTCTGATAGCAGACCAAGAATTCTTCTTGGAAGCTGGGATAAAAAGAACCATCCCTTTTTAATTTTGGGTTTTGTGAATGAGGAAAGATTTTACTGTCTGTTTTTAGAAGCTTTTTCATTTGGTTAATTGTGACTGAAAAAAAATCAAATGAAAAATTTTGCACTTGCCATATGTTTCAGCAGAAATCCTTTTCTTTTTGTGATGTTTGAGTAATTTTTTGGTTTTCAAGAGAAAGGGAAGGTTAAAAGCTGTTGAAAATGATACTCTGAGCATGTTCAGTACTTAACTGTTCTTGCTGTGAAAACCTTGTTTCTGCAATTACTTCAGTTGGCTGCACTGTGGATACACAGCAATGTTCTGCTCTTGCTCATAGATTTAAAGAGTTTAAGGTCAGAAGAGTTCACTAGATCACCTAGCGTGACCCTTTGGATATATTAGAGACCATTGAAATTGCAGCCATTTTTCTCTGTGCTGGGTCCAGGAACTTGAATTTGACAAAGCTTAAGTTGTCTGGCTAGGGCAGCCCCTGAAGAAAGGTGCGCTGTCTTGATTGGAAGGTATTAGGAAATGAAGAATCCATTACTTAATTAGCAGTTTGTCCCTGGGGTTAATGGCTCCCAGACTTAATCTAAATTGAATTTGCCTGGCTTCAGCTTTTAGCTTTGATTCTCCTTTTTTAGTTTAGTATTTGGTGTTTTCCCTTTTGGAGGTACTTAAACATGGTAATCAAGTCATCCCTCAAGCTCTTTCTGATAAACTGAATAGGTTGAGCTCTTTAATTCCCTCATCATAATGCATGATGCAGCACTTGCATCACTTTGCCTTTTTTCTGCATGCAGTTTTCCAATATCCTTTTCAAAATGCAGCTACTAGGAGTGGATTTCAGCATTGGTCTTATCTATGTCATGTATGGATGTCAAATCTCCCCCATAACTCCTATTTGTTGCTCTCCTATTCGGACATGCAAAGATTTCACTAGCTCTTTTTGGACCACATGATGAGATTATTCTCCTTGATAGAATTGCTGTTTCTAGGTTCACAGTGTTGAAAGGGTTTATATGTTGGGACCTACCCAATTTGTGATTGCATGATTTTCACAGAAACCACGAATTTGGGCAGGCTCCATAATTTTGCTTGCCAGTAAATTTGTAGCAAGCCCACCAAAATCATGAAGCCGGCTGCTTGGGGATGGCCTGAAACCATGGGTTAATTACCCTGATTAAACCCAGGAAAGCCATTAGTCTGTGCTTAATAACATGTAGGTTAATGGCTTCCCTGGGCTTAATCAGGGTAATTAACCTGAGGTTTTGGACCATGTGGCAATCTGTGGGGAGGGGCGGTACTGCCAGGGCCCCTCGGCCAATTGGAGGCGTCGGAGGGCGGGGGGTGCCCTCCTGTGCTTAGCCTGCAAAAATGGCGGCTGGACCCGGTATCTGTTCACGAAATTAGCTCACTGCCTTCTCGAGTTCAGTAGACCCCTACTTATGTGACAGTAGCCTGCAATAGCAGGGGATTAGATGCAATTACCCAGATGGAAGTCAAAATCAGAAGGCATAGCGTCTGGTGAAGTAGGTTGTTGCCTGCGAAAGCTCATGCCTCTCTGAACCAGTTAGTCTCTAAGGTGCTGTTCTACTGTACCTTCTGCCTGACTCCAGAAGAACACAGCTAACCATGCCTCTGTACACTTTGATTTCAAACAAAGTAGTTTCTGTTTGTTAAGATTTTTTGAATTTTTATTAAATGTTATCTGAATGGAAGGGAAACCTCAAGAATTAAAATCTTCTGTTTTAATTGGTTTAAATGGAGGTTTTCCTCTTCCCCTCACTACTTGGGATGTTGAACAATAGAATCCTTGTTTGGCTTTTCTCTTTTTCTTTCGTGAATACGTGCCTGTCATGTTCTGCCCACTCTTTCTGTAGCTGTTTGATTACTGTGCAAATTAAAGACCAAAGAAAAGCCACTCAAGGCAAGGGTGCCGTGAAATGAGTGCGTTTTAGTGTGGAAAATCTGTGTGTGTTGGTCTAGATACTGTACCTCTACTCACTCAACAGCTGTCTGACACTCACATTTTTCAGGAAGTGCTAAACTGGTCTGATTATGACATGGCAGTGAATAGCTCCTTATTCTAGAACTAATCCACTAATTCACCTAGCCCTTCATTTCACTTACTAAATTACTACCTGGGAATTTGGCATGTCACTAAAGACTTCCTTTTTACATGCTGACTTGCACACATAATGCTAACCTATACTGGCATCCTCATGTACATTCTTTACATCTCTGAATTTATTTGTGTGCTGCTTGTCAGACTTTAGTTATGCAGCGTTTTGTAAATTTAGCCCCATCTACATTGCTTTCACTACTGAGAGAGAGAAATAGCATGTCTTTACTTATGCTTTTATTTATTTGTAGACCATTGACTGACTGTATCTTATTTTTGTAAAGTTTATGCCTAATCATGGGAATCATATTGCATTACATAAGCTTATACTAATCCATGATTTAGCATGTGTTGTATGGCTGTGAGAGTTGTATGACTTTTTGACGTTTTATTTCAGGTACTAAAGTAAAATCAGCAAGAACACAAACCAGCTCTTCCATGCAGAAAATAATAACCAGTCCTAAGAAACAGCATCTGCTTTCTGCACCATTTTCTGAAAATCAGTATCTCTTCAGTCCCAGTAGAGAAGCACCTACTGTTTGTGGTCCACTTGAAGGTCACCTGATCCCTATGGCTATTCCTTTAGGTAAGAACAAATAAAACCGCAATCTGTTGTATGGGCCCGATTAATCCTTGCTGCATCACCTTGCGCTTTTCTGTATCAGTGATGGCTGCTTTATGGGTGGAGAGTCACAGCTACCTTTCCCTTGGGACTCTGCTAGGGGAGGTCAGTTTGCAGTTCTAATGCAACTGTACAGGAGCTCCTCTAGCAGAGCCAGTGGAGATCTCAATGCATCTTCTGGCCATGCCCTGTCCTAACCACTACTATGTATGCCTTTGTGCTGCTCATTTGAGTGCACCTGATACCCATTCTGTCAGGCAAGTTCCTCCTAACAGAGGACCAGAGTACATTGTAAAACTAAGTATGTATCAGTGACAAAAGTAGATTAAATTGATCTTTTCTACCCAGCCATCCCAGTAATGTCATACCAACCTGACCATTCTGTATTGATCACCACTAAGAGGATTTCCTCTTGCAAGCAGTTCCAGTCTGAGTGTTGTTTGTGCATGGAGAGAGGTCAGTGTTGACACCTAAAGATATAGACACAGGAAGGGGGGGACTGAAATCAAAGCTGGACAGGTCATGCACTGACCTGTGCTCATCTTGGCTAGCTGGCCTGTGTATTAAATATATAGTGGAAAATGAGGAGAGGCTGTGTACAGTGATTTTCAACCAGGATAGTGTGGCACCCAGGGGTGCCACAAGATCCTGTAAGGGTGCCCTGAGGTATGAGAATATAAGCATGTAATTGCAGGCTCAGGCTTGTTGCTGCTTGGCAAATCCCCTGCCATTCCCTCCCCAACCCCGGTGCCTCTGCAAGGAATTAAGCACTGTGGTATATTAATTCGTTTTTGAAAATAGATGCTGCTCAATTCACAAAAGCTATGGAGAGGTGCCTCGTGTCCAAAAAGGAGGAGACTCATCGGTGTAGCGAAAGGCACAGTTATGGGGACCTGAGTTATCAAGCAGTTCAAATTACTGCAGATATTTTGGTTCTCAGCACTAGGTGTCGTTGTAGTTAGTGGAATGACTGCAGTGCAGTAGGGAAAATATCCAGGGATATTATTTAGGGTAATACAAGAACAAAAAAACTGTGCAAACCTTAAATTTAAGTGAAAAAAACTACATTTTGACCAGTGGTAGTGGGATATATCTTCATTATGCTGTTAAACCAAAAGTCTGATTTCAACAAAACTTGAAAAACCCAGATACTTTTATTTATTTAATTGATTTTATATTTATTTTGTTTTTACTTGACTTTCCCTAGGTCAAACACGGGCTAATGGCATCTCACCACAGCCTGCAGGAGTAATTATAAGCAAACCTCACCCTGTCACTGTGACTACCTCTGTTCCCCCAACTTTTCCAAAACTACAGCGTCAGGCAATGAAAAAACCAAACATAGCAGTAGTAGAGATGAAATCTGAAAAAAAGGATCCTCCTAAACTCACCGTACAGGTATGCGGGGGGGGGAAAAAAGCCAATTGCTGTGTTACTGAATATGGAAGTTTCAGCCAGTGTTTAATGCATTAATGCTGCTAGACATGATTGTTCACCTGGTCTTTAACTTAATGATTGGGAATTGGTGAATGCTTTTTCTCTTGCTATCACTACCATAAAATATTATCATCCAAAATGTAGTCACTTTATGGTTATGGTTTATATTTTTGGCAGCTCTTAACGTAGTTTTTATTACTTAGCCAGAATAGAAGAATGATTTGGGGTTGGGGAAACCAAGGCACCCATAAATACATGCCATGTGACCAGATAATGCCCTATGCAGAATATTTTTACAGAGAGACTTTCATGCTGGAGCAAATTTGAAAAAGATTATTTAATATAAATAGCAATTTATTCAGCTGAATGATTTGCCCTTTAAGACTTTTGTTTTGAATATGCTTTTCTTCCTAACACAGTTTTCCATCTGAATAATCAGCCATTGATGTCCTAATCCCATGTTTGTGATACAAGCTTGTTGTCATGGAAATGAAAAAGAATGTTTTATTACAAGTTCAGTATTTTGGATTCATTGAAGGATCAAACTGAAGGCCAAAATATGCTGGGAATATCTTCCTCCTGACCTCAGTTTTAAACACAACTAGTTTGGATCATGAAGCTCAGAGATAAACAGCATAATTAATTGAAGACATTAACCCCCCTGCTAATATGCTACTTTTCCCATCTGAGCACATTTTTACTGTTTTTGTCCAGTTTAGTCTTAAATGTTTTATGTGAAGATGTTTTACTAAAGACTTAAATTAGTACTTCATTTTCCCTTTGATCCATTTGTGTAACTTTTTTGAAAATCTTTGTCAGTGCAAAGAACACAACCATTATAGTTTTGTACTTATTGTACTAGTACATAGATTATATCTGTGTTGTAGTGTTTCAACTCTAGGAAAATATAAAATGAATATTCTGTTTGTGCTTTACATATATTAAAAAAAAAAAAGCCATGCACATAGAAGACATCTGACTTGACTTATAAGTCAGCCCCAGGATCTTGAGTAATTGGCATGAATTGGCTCATCAGGCATATTCTGTCAAGTTGCCAGAGGTGTTTTTGACACTTAAGTCATACTGCATGTCAGCGAGGTAACAATCTAGCATAGTTGTGAAAAGTCAGGTTGTTAAACTAAATGGAGATCGGGAGAAGTTGACGTAGGAGGGGAGGAGAGCAGAGTGTTTCTTCTTTTTAATTTTAGTCTGCTGTTAAAATCCAGTCTCAGTCAGGTACAACAAGGAGGGGACCTTGTGCTGAGGTTAATGGTAGAAGAATAGGTGAAAGGAGAAAGTTAAGGCATGGTTTGGGCTTCATGTTCCCACACACAATTTAAGCCGAAGAGAAGCAGACTAAGGGAGACTTCAGTGGATATTTTTGTTTTGCCTTCATAGGTGTTGCCGAATGTAGATATCGACAGTATTTCCAGTGCCAGCGTGAGCCTTAATGAGGCATCTCTGCACTCAGAAGCAGCACTCCCTCCTGTCAGCACTCAGATACAGGTATTACTCGAAACATGTATGAGTTGGAACTAGTTCCAATAAGTGGATACGAGTGAATGACTCCTCAGTTACTGGGAAATGATTTTAGTCCGTGCTCCTTCATTACTAGGGAAACTAGATTCACTCAGGAGCAGAAAAAAGAACTGAATGGTTGTTACGATTTCTGAGCTCCTTTTTGTTGACCAGTCTTTAGGAAGATGAAGATTAATTTCCCTCTAGCCCTGAGGAAGGAGTGATACAACAGGCTCCACCCCAGTAACAACCAAGGGAGAGTACTGAGGACAAAGAAGTAATTTGCCATTGGGCTATATAGCACTAATAGGTTGCTTCCCATCTGTGCTGGCAGCTGCATTAGCTCAGAGAGGAGTAAAAGCTTCATCCTTATGCCCATTCCCTGTCTAATTGCACAGGGCAAGGAGTAATGGCCATGTGGAGCCACCTTACTTCTACCATGTTGCACTTTGATTCATGAAATGAGGTAGCTGGCATGGGAGAAAGGAGCAGCCTTGTGTTCTTATGCACCAGCACACAGGCAAATTACTAATAAATGGGTGAGGTTCTAGGGCCTGCATTATGCTGGAAGTCGGATTAGCTGGCCCAAATGGCCCTCTTCAGCCTTTGAATATATTAGATCATAATCTTGCTCCTGTAACTTTTCAGTAGCTTTCCTGGAGTGTTTAGAAGGTGAGAAGGCTGTACATGAATTCTGTGCAGAAGATGGTTTTAAGAATGTTGGGGCTGTAAACTAAAGCTTGTGGTTACTGGGATCACATGCTTTATTTATTGCACAGGGTGAGCAGTAGGAACTGAATGAGAGAACTTTTAAATACTTATTATTCATTCCTTGTTGTTCAGCATGTGTGCTTCTACCTCATGGTGACCATGTTGAATAAAATACACTCTCATCCTATATTGCAGTTAATACGCACATTTTTAAGCCCCAAAAATCTGTAGAGGCACAGTGGTATAGAAATTGCTAACTAAAACCTACTTAGAGTAACTATATATTTCCTGCTTCTGGTGTGTGAGAAATTTGTTCTGCTGTTTGAGAAAAACATTTTTCCACTGGAGATTAGGATCTAATTAGTTTGCAAAGAGGTAGACTTTGATCATATTCTCAGTGTGAGGTTTTTTTACAATTACATTTTAAATGAAAGATCTGTAACACTTTAATTCTGTTTATCAGACTCCAGAACATGAACATTATGAAGAGGAAGATATAAAATTTCCAGGAACTAATTTCATTGATGTGACTGATGTAATGCAGGTAACCATATTCCCTTTCCTTTCATTTGATTTTTTTTATACTTAATATTATATTCTTGGTCTTATTTTAAAATATGGAATAGAATAGTATTTGCTAACAACTTGAAAAATATTATTTCTGCCTTTTGAACAACCTTCCATTGAATTGAAGCAGAAATATTCATTAATCATTCAAAAACCTGTGAGAAGCAAGAAAGGCATGGTAGATTTGCATTCAGCTCATGAAAGTTTGTGCGATAGAGAGAGATCGATCGATCTACTTTGGTTAGTCTAAAAAGTGCAAATCTAGCCTAAAAGTGTTTCAGTCCTGTCAAAAATAGTAAAATGATAGAACTTATTTGAAAGCACGTTGTTAAATCTAATTGAAAACATTTTTGTCTGTTTGCTCAAAAATGTATCATATAAAAATGAAAAGGAAGAGCTACTTATGAAGTCAATTTGTGAAGTAAGAATAAAATAGCAGGGATATCTAAGCTCTTCAAACACTAATATGAGTTATTCCTCTTTCATTTTTCTCCCAGATTGCTTTTATCTTTTACTCTTGGCAATGGGACGTATTTTAACCACAATACCAAGAAGTGTTCCAAATGGAACACATGTTTGGCCCATAACGGTACATGCAACATTCTTAAAAATGTGTAAGACAAACATAATGCAGAAGCATCAAATCAGGCCTCTGGAGTCTCAGAAGTATTTAAGACATCAAAAGCAATCCTCTTTTCTTTTTCTTTTTAAAGAAGTAGCTTTGCTTAAAATGTGCATGGAGAAATGTCCATAAAAACGTTAAACGGGAAAACCTGGCTATTTTGTTCCTTTCTTTTTTTGTCATGAAAAGCATGTTCTAATCAGAACGAAGAAACATACACTTGTCTCATAGCTGCAAAATACCTCCCTTTTAACCTTAAATGAGTTAACCTGTGGTGAGTCCGTCTGTGAATGCATGATGTAACCCCTAAAAACAGTTTAAGCCCCACCCCAGCACTGGTAAATTTACTCCTGGATGAACTGAGATCAAATTTGTCCTGTTCTCAAATGGCTCATCTTTTAATCCTAAAAAAGTTGGGTTGGAAGGGACTGTTGCTTCTTGTCACAAGCAACAAGTTTGCTCAGCCCTCGGCCCACGGGCCTGATTTGGCCTGTAGTGCCATGTCATCCAGCCTGCAGGGCTCCCCATAGGTCGAAGTTTGATAGCAGGGGAGCAGCAGCAGTTAATACTGCCTCCTCTCCCCTGCTGCTGAATTCCCAAGTCCCATGTTTCTGGGCCACACTCCTTTTCTCCCCGTGCCCTCTAACCTCCACCCACTGCTGCTAGATTGGGGCCAGGTCACACCCACTATCCCCACATGGCTGAATCGGGCCTTATGTGCTGCATTGGTCGTACTGGACAGATCCAACCCTTGGAGGGACTGGGTACCACTCATCCAGCCTCCAGGGCAAAAAGGGTGAACATCACTGGTCTGTCGCCATCCTCCTTATAACTACCCTTCAGGTATTTGAAGACTCATCAAATCCTCCTTCATTCTTCTTCCCTCCAGACTAAATTAATGCCAGTTGTTTTAGCATTTCCTTTTACATCATGTTTCCCAAATTTCTAATAATTGTTATTGCTCTCTGCTGGACTCATTCTAATATGTCCACATTTTTCTTTAAGTGTGGTATCCAAAACCAGACACACTACTCCAGGTAAAGCCTCATCAGTGCTGAATAGTGGAAGGATCACTTCTCTTTATTTGCAAGTGATGCTCCTATTAGTATAGCCCTGTATGCTATAAGCTTTTTTTTTTTCCCCTACAAGAGCATATGTTGGTTCATTCAGCTCGCAGTCCAGTATAACACCCAGGTTATTTTCTGTAACATTGCAACCTAGCCAGTCGTTATCCAGTTTGTGTTTGTGCATGCAGTTGTTTTGTCTCAAATGCAGAGCTTTGTGCTTGTCCGTATTAAATTTAATTCAGTTAATTTTGAACCATTTTTCCAGTTTATCAAGGTTCTGCTGAATCTTGTTCCTGCCCTCCAGAGCATCTGCATCTCCACCTATCTTGGTGTCATCTATAGATTTGCTAAGCATGCACTCAGTTCCATTTTCCAAATCATTAACAAAGAAATTAAACAGTACTAGGACAGAGCTCTGCAGAGCCCCACTTGATTTGTCCTCCCAGTTACACGTGAAACCATTGATGATCCAACCAGTTACATTGTTGGCACTGGATGTATTACCCAGATACCTTGTTTCAGACTGACCATGACTTCTCCATTCAATAATAGGCAAATTTTATTGGTGCACAGTGATAGCAGGCAAGACAAACAAAATAACCCCCCCCCCCCCCCCCACTCTTCACTGCCACCTTTTCGACACCGCCACGCGG